CTTGATCGCTATGCCCACACCGTGTACGCCCCTCTTGTCCTTGGTGCCAGCACGGGCGCCACTCCAGATGATCACGTACCCGTCGTGTGCAATTGAACCTTGTTCCTCTCGTCGGGTCTCCTGAAGTCCTATTACATCACAGCCGGTCGCGGAACAAATCGGCATGACCGTCATCACGTCGTGACCGACGGGGTTCCTACCGCTGTAGGCGAGCGTGCGTATGTTGAACGTGCCGAACGATAGGTCGCCCTCTTGTGCCTGCTTCTTCGCAGCCGCCTTGACGGCCGCTGCGGTCTCGTGTCTCTCTCGGTCCACCTCGCGTTGCGGGTGTGCTTTCTTCCGTATTTTCAGAGCGGCGAATTTCCTCGCATCAATCCATCTCTGCAGAGCTCGGTTCTTGCCTGTGGTGTTTTGACGAGGAGGGTGCAGCATTCCCTCCCCGCGGTGCCCGCGGTTGTCTCCCTTCTCCCTCGAGTGGTGCTTACTGACGCGATGGTTACGAATTTCTCTACTCCTCCAGCTTCGTGGGCCACGCTTTCCGCGACGGTGGTTGCCAGGTGCAGTTTGCCGCTTTGCATTACTGCCGCGGGAACAGTGTCCATAAACACGTCTCGCCACTACCACCGTCTGTGCATCCTCACCGCCACGCTGAGCCAGCGCGGCGGTGAATTGCACCTTGGGACACCACCCGCCTTCTATCTGTTGTGGCCTGGTTCGCCCGCGAGGGACTCACTAGGTCGATTTCGGCCCCGGCCGGGGGGCAGGCCGTGGGGGAAGCTGTGAATGAATCGGGAAAGCTTAGACTTCGCGTTCATAACTGGAATTCGCGTTGAGGAACGATCCCGAACCGCCGTGAAACCGTCGATTTGATTCCGAAAACGAAATCGAACACGTCACACCCTGCTACACAAAACGAACAATCGCCCCAGAAACTTCCTCGTCGGACGCCGCTCCAAACGGGCACAGGTAAGCCCCTACACTGGTGTGTGCATGCTGTAGTATATGGTAGACGTGTTGCCTACGCTTTCGCGTCTGCAGGCAGCACCTCGGCCTCATAGCAACAATCCGACATTTTTTGCGGATGGTCCTTGCATCATCGTCATCACCATTACATCATGGATGGCCGGACTGCTTAGCAAAAGCCCACCACCCACCTGCTCCGCCAGTCACCCAACACACCCAACACACACGAAGAGAGGGTCAAAAGCACACAACACGACGGCACTTGTCACTACCCCTCACATTACAAATGTCCCAACTCAGCTACACGCGGCACGTGGTTGTGATCAGTAGGAAGAAGCCGGCAGTAGGACCGAGGGCAGCAGGCGGGGAATGTAGCAAAATCACCCAGGAAGGACAGCTCACAAAGAAAAAGTCACCGCCAGCTCCGCCAGCCGCCAACACGCCCAACACACACGGAGAGAGGGTCAACACCCAACACGACGGAACTTGTCTATAGCCCTAACGTCGCACACGTCCCAACTGAGACGTGTTTGGGTACATCAGTATGAAAATGCCGGCAGTATGGACAAAGGCCTGCAGACTGCGTAACAATTCACCAAACATAAGATGGCAAGAATTGTTTTTCTATGGAGGCACAGGGAAACGATGGACCATCCCAGCAGCAGGTAAACGATGTACCACACACTACAGGATGTCAACATCGTCATCAATAAACACCTGCCAGTATTATTGGTGGCCCTGCCGGTACCCACTCTCTCGGTATAGACTATATGTTTGTCCGTCTGCCCACCTTTTCTCTTCGTGTCTGCTTTGTACAACTACTTGTACATCTTGTTGGGGCCGCTTGCTGCTGCCCTGCCCCGCTTCAGTCACAAGCGAGTCTTGCTTGGGAGGCACGTGAGTTTTCAGCATAGACTATATTCCTACCGGATATGTTACAATTCAGTAAAATAGCTCGGTGGCTTTCCCCACGACGACCCCTCCCGAGGTCTCAGGTAATCTTTTTTTCCTGTTCAACGGCCCTGAGGCTGAGGGGTATCCATCCTTCAGTCCACGAGCAGGAGTAGCGACTTTGCACAACTTAACACACACCCTGGACCGGTTTTTAAAGCTCGATTACTCCACGACCAAGACCGGTCCAGACGATGAGATATATATCATGCAACCTCCTTACACAAGGTAGTTCTTCCACTCACTCACTGCTGTATGGACTCGATCACATCCCGTTCGACTGGTGCTGGTGTGGGTTTCGTATTTTTTGTACTCATCTTGGGAACACCGGTTACCGCCATGATGACCACCACCGCCAAGCTCAACCAACAATCAATGTTGTCACCCCGTAGCACCGGCGGTGGTTTATGTCGTTGTCCTCTATAGGTGATATAATTGCTTGAGTATACTACGTCTCACCATCATGTGAGGGGGGCTGTCGCCATAAAATTAGTAGGACGAATGCAGACTACAAGCTGTATCTGCATCTCTCTCTGCACCTGCCTCGATGCCTCGAAGAACGCCTATAGAAAACCTGCTTAATGTACGCGTGCGTACTCAATCCTTAATGTAGCAGAAGACCGGGCTG